GTTGATTCAGTAATCATTATAATAATTTATATCGTTTTACTTGTTCGTTCAATCGATGCAATTGACAATTGCGTACTTCCGTATCACGTTCTCATTGGTTAGTGTGTATGCCATATACCGCAGGTGAATCTGTCATACACTGCAAGTGAATATGCCATATTCGTTGCGGAATATGACATATTTTTGTATCGTGTTTACCGCGTAACAACCTTTACTTATAAAATATGTTCACGTGATATTCGATTATATATTCGTCCAATTATTATATTATTTGGACTAACAGAACAATTGTTAACCTCTCTTTTCGGTCAACTGGCAAAAGTGTCCTCGACCTCTGGTCTTGATCAACAGTACTTTCAAGGTTTACAGTATCGGTATACAATTTTGCCAGTTGACCTTAAGAGAGGTCTACAATTGTATATTATTTCTTTCAAATTATTATATTCTTCGGACTAACAAACAATTGTTAACCTCTCTATTCGGTCAACTGGCCAAAGTGTATACCTCAACAGTAAACCCTGAGAGTACTGCTGACCTCGACCTCCGAACTTTCAAGGATTACAGTATCAGTATACAATTTTGCCAGTTGACCTCAAGAGAGGTCTACAATTGTATATTGTATATCCTTTGTTATCCCACCCAAAGTATGATGTCATATATCAAGTTGAAGAGTTTTATACGCTGCTCAGGAGTTTACGCTATCCAGGAGTTGTACATCGTTCTCAAGAGATGTATAGGATGAGTATTGGTTTAATGATATTGCAGTTATACAATGCTATTATATAAAGGTTATTTACTGAGAGGGATTCAATATTGGTTTTATTCCGAGAGACAATATGATATTTCCCGAGGGCCCGGGATATCTGGGATAACTGTACCCCTATCAATTTACCTTTTTGGGCCCTTAATCTTATCACTTTTGTTTACCTTTTTACTCAGTCGGAGAGAAGGAATCCAAAGAGAGCAATAATTCTACATGTGCGTCGTTCAAGATTTCCATTAAACGTGTAACTAAATGGCTTCTCTAATAAAGTCAATTAGACGTTTTTACACGTTGGCTCTCCAAATTGGAGGAAATAAAGAATCATATCATATTATATCATAGATGAAACAACTGTTTTAGTTATAATTTGATAAACAGTGGTAACGTAAATCTACTAGTTTATCACTGTTCCACAGATGGATGACAGATAATTTCCAATAGCTCATCATATTTACCGAGAACGAAAGATGTTTGTCCACCATTTTGAATGATACTAACTGGAGTCAGGGTCATCAAGCTATGGAATAGTGGTTTATGAAAATAGATTGGGTTACTAAAGCTTGCCATGTTAAAGGCGATTGAACTATGTTATAGAACAACGTCCAGAACGTTATAATGTTTAAAAGTATAAATTTTTTGAAAACACACGATCTTCGCCCGCAGGAAGTGTATTTTGAATGCCTTGAGAAGAACGCAAATATGGGTAATGGGTAACGGTATCGCAATAGTAGCATTTAAAAATCTGTTCCACTCGAGATTTATGGTCTTCTGAAATTATACTATTAATTGGTGTTGCTGCATCATTGCTCAAATCTAGAGGAGTGTTGTTGCATCTTCGGTTTGGTGTTGTTGCATCAATAGTGAGGAACTAAAACCGTGAACTTATTGCTTCTTGGTGATGGTACATGTATACTAATGACAGTTTCTTTAAATATAGATCGTGCGCTAACTGCACGTGTATGGTTATTGAGCAACTCGTCCTAGAAATGGGTTTAATTGGGGAAACAAAATATCGTACGAAAATCTATCACCGGAAGTCTGGCCATCTTGATGCAACAACACGGTGTTGTTGCATCACGATACTCCCCAGTGAAAAGGATTAATTGCTATATAGTCTTTGTCTTAGTCTTTGTTTTTCTAACAGCGGAAGTGTACCAACATCACCTTGATTACAGAAGAGATCATCTAACAGTCTTTTAATTCCCGGGTTTTAATTACATTTCATGAGTTTTTTTGCCTCTATTCTCATTTTTAAACCTGTCTCTGTTTGCGTATTTAACAATTGTGATAAATTATTCAGTTATTGTTCTACATTATAGCCCCCTCCTCTTGCACTGACTAAATATTAAAATAAGCCAGTCTGATTGCGAATTTACAAATCCTGTAAACAGTTAAAAGTAGCTTCAGCCCGGGAGCTTCAAACCGCCTTTTAATCAGAGAAAACAATAAGTTAATTCATCTGATTGCGAAAATACGAATGAATCTGATTATCTGATCTCCATGCTATTTGATTCGTGCATTATCTACAAGTCAGTCGGCAAGGGTGAAATTATTTCATTTGAAAACAGAAATATGTGGACTTGAGAAAGTCCGACATACTCATTGCTTCCAACCCAAAACTTAAAATAGGAAGTTATCAAGATCCCATGCAAGAACACGATCGCTACATAAACAATACGTTTGTAAAATCCCGGCGATCGAAATGCAATCAAACTTTCGCAATCAGGTGCCTAATTAGTCTTTTGATCTCTGAAGTTTTTCGACTGAACTTTTCAATGAACTCGTGAGAAGCAAACGAAATCATCACAACATCATATAAACATTTTTCTGGTAAATCTAAAATAGAGTAAAATCCAGGGGAAAGATCGTGTGGTTATTTGATTATTTCAAATGAATTTGGCATATTTCAATTTTGAAATAACAAAAGTCAGTCTCGGAAGAATTTACCAAGCATTCCCTGCTTCGATGCATTTTTATTGCAAGGGCCGTTTGCGCCGATATGAATTCATTAGGGCATTAGAGTTGTGCTTTATTTGTTTTATTTATATAAATGTTATGAAATGTGTACGACACTTTAATGAATTATTTTTTGGGTTACAATGCATATTTGACTTTTCCCTCTAAAAGTTTAAAATTCATCTATTCTTTATACTTTTCTTAGTTTGATTCAATAAAATTAACATTGGATTCCAGACAGTTATCAAATTTTCAGACATTTGATTAATATAGATATTTGTACTTCCTTTGACCAGTGGCTGGTGTGACTGAGATTCGAATCTAATCTGTTTCATTTTTATGTAAATTGAAAGGAATAAAGTTTTATTTTAAGCGTTTTAACAATCTTTTACGTTTGGCGTGCAGCTCAACTTAATACACAATCAAAGGACAGAATACAGAAATAAGAACATGCCTTTTATTTGTTATTCAAGCTCGAGCAATATCCCCGTTATAAAACCAAAATACGCACCTTGGTCATCGCAGAAATGATCTTACAACAAACATATATGTGCCGCTTGTGTCTGTAACTTAATAAATAAAAAAAGTACTGAATATAAAATACGATTCTGAATAAAAACATTAAGGATGTGGTTTTCGTTATTCATTTATTTATTTATAAGAACGCGCTCGTCTTTTGAACTTTATAAATGAGAATGGAAATACACCAAGCCAAGTGACCATTAGCTTAATTAGTAATAGTAATTGTTGTACATGTATTGTTTTCCTGGGTTCTCTAATAATAAAAAATATACGTTCCCAAATAAAAAAATTGAAGAAGAATCTTGATAACAATCCAATAAACAATATCAAGTTTAAAATCCGACAATAAGCTGCTTACGCGCCGGCCGTTAAAGTTTCTGAATTTAATAACAAAGTACATGTGACTGTAATTATATCCATTGATGTTGTAAACTTTACTACATGTAGGTTTAAACATTTAAAACTGGTTTGCCCTCGACAGAGTTATGTTTATGTCTTTTGAACGGTGGCTCTATCTCGATGCATCTGTTAATAAATGATACTATAAGCTTTATTGGATCGTGAATTCACCTTTTCAAATTCAAATCCCCAAAAAATAAAGCACACAATTTAAGCGTGACAAAAAAGAGCAAAACTAAAAACCTGTTAACCTGTTAACCTATAGTGCCTGACATTACGTTAATGAATAATTTCCACATGTTGAAATATATCGCTATTTGATTGAGTTCAAGACAAAACTTTTTGGAATTGTTTCACATAATGTAATATTTCTCGGATTTGATGCATACCCGGGGATGCATACACATGTTTCACAATCAGAGACAAGGGTCTTATGACGGGGTCTTATATTTGGCAAACCAATCAACAAGTAGTATTATATTATCACAAAAGATAAATTACTTATCCCTTTTAAAAATATATGAAGTAGAATTACTTCATGTTAAAATACTAAATGTATTGCTTATGGTAATTTGGTCAGTTGTTTACACATAATTATCAATGTGCCAAGAGCGAGTAATGAGATTCCAATAATTGTCACAGCGCGTGTCAGGACTTTTGACATGGTCTTTGCACTGCGTTACACGGCGTGTGTCAAGAAGTGCATAGAGGTGTAAAGAGTTGGATTCATCGCGTGTCAAGAGGTGTAAATAATTGACACGTCTAGGAACTCGGCGTGAAAAGACTAGTTTCTAGACGTGTCAAGATTTGGAATCCCAGATTTCACGCAGTGATACTTCATATGGACCTTCATTTTCCTAGCAGTTCTTCGCATTTATGCACTTACTTCATATGGACCTACATTTTAATTTCTTCATATTGATCTACACGAGCATACTTCATATGGACCTTCATTTTCCTAGCAGTTCTTACTTCGCATTTATGTACTTACTTCATATGGACCTACATTTTAATTTCTCTCTTCATATTGATCTCATCCTCCTAAGCAGGTATCCAGAATCCATACCTCTCTCTCTTCCTCCAGCTATATAACCAATTTGGAAGCGCCCGATTAAACTGAATCAAGTGATCTAATTATGCGCAATGACTTATACATGATTTCTGTCGCAGTGTTGCGACAGCCAATCAGAATGCGAGTTCTTAATCGAGGAAATTGCTAACTGCTTATCGCAGGGGGTAAAGAGAAATATTATATTCTGGATTTTGTAGCCTGTGATCGGAGGATGATTGATCTACACGAGCATACTTCATATAGGCCAACATGTTCTTAGCAGTTCTTACTTCGCATTAATGCACTTACTTCATATGGACCTGGGAACCAGCAGCGTAATCCACCAGAAGTTGTATGCTCTCCTCATGTCCACAGTAATGCATAACAGTATTCCCTTGGCAGTCTAGCACATTCAACTCTGCATTATGGTCTAACAACACCTAGAACAGAGAGGGATGTTGAAGCTTTATGAGGGTTGTCCCCGAAGTATTGCATTATATGCTCTCTTGAAGCTTTACTCTTCTGTAAATCAGGCAGACCAAACTTGCCTTCATTTATATATCTTAAATTTTTAGGGCTTTTACTGATGTAAAACAAAACTCTGATGGTCCAGCTCATCAGAGCCAGGTCAGCCCTGTCTAATCTTATGCAAGAGGAGAATATAGAGACACCCCTTGAAATATGGCAAAGACGTAACTTCACAGGAAGCTTTATACAATATAAAAAATTAAATACTAAAGGATGGGGAGGCACTGTTGTCTCTGTAGGTAATATTCGGATGGACACCCATGGCAGTGATCTATCCGACAATTGCCTACATGGACAACATTGCGTACCTGGCCTAAACATACCACAACAGCTTTACACAAACACTCAAGATACAACGAAACGATCATATCCCCATAGAAGTCTCCTTGAATCTGATCTGTCAACTTTCGACAATTACAGAAGCCCTTCAAAGGTATCGCTCATGAACTGTTAACTTATGGATAATGGTGAAAAGGTTTCTAGTGTGAAGAAGGACCCACCTGCATCATCTCAGTATCATTCTTCGATGCAGCGATGTGAAGACCTGTTCGACCCCGTCTATCACGGGTGTTAGGGTCTCCACCTTCATCGAGAAGATCACGCAACATATAGAAATCATTCCTCAAACAGCAGTGCACTATACACTGACCTGCCTCGACATCACTCCTCATTTTTAACAACTGACAAATTCACAGGAATCCCTGTGTGAGAAATAGATACAAGAAAATAATAATTATGAATTTACATCTTTAGATCACAGCTGCTTAAACATTGAAAAATAATTATAATTTGAGATATAATTATTTTGAAAATATGACATTGCTATCATAGGTTAATTACAGATCAATATTCTCCTGTACAATATGTCTCTGTTCCTGCTTCTAAATGTCAAAAATACTGAAAAGAGTAGGAAAATTGTTGTTGTTTTAGCGGCATCGTAGGGCAGTATGGGTAAATTTCAAGATGGTGGCTCGAAATTGAAAATAAATTTTGGAAGAAAAATATGGAAATGAACCTTCGTAACCTTTTCCAAGACTTCAATCCAAGGTAAACATTGTAGTATCAGCTTTTTCTATAGCTTTGAAGATAATATGATCATCAAGTAAGCACCAGAGTGGTCAATTAATTTGAGTAACGTAAAACATAAAAAATAATTATTTCCGGAAAAAACATGAAAAATTAGGCTAGACTATACTCAAATCACTTAATCTGGTGACCAGTTCATATGGTTAAAATAACGAAATGATGTAATGTTACCATGTATCTACTTACCAGTTTGTTCTATGTCATCCATCGGACTAGGGGGTTTGTAGAAAAAACCGGGTAGTAAATCCTCCATGATGGGGTCAAACTATCAGAATGGTACCCGGTAGAAAAAATAATTTAAGGTGCTATGGAAGTTAACAGGAAATGACAAAACAAAAAATGTGAAAACCATGCTGGATTTTGAAATTTTTTTGAACCAAGATAACAGAGTTCTGTTTGGACCTCCAGTCAGTTTACTAGTTTCACATATCATTTACATGACTGGGAACACAATGGAAATGGTCAGAATGACCATAAACATGATGAAATAACCTTTTCAGCACTCTAAAAATGTGACTGAAAAATAGCTAAGAGTATGTGCTCAGGAAAGGTCACTGAACAGAACGTTTTGACTTTTTCAGAAAATGTGTCCAATATATTGCTCTAAATGATACAATTTTTGAAATTTAAAAAAATCGTCTGAAACAATAATGGCTGGAGTTAAAAGGAAAATAGATCGATTTTAAATTCAGTTTTTTCATTTTTTTTCTTTTTCTAAGAAAGATATGAAATTTTTTAAAATTGTATTTTCAAAATCCAGCATGGTTTTCACATTTTTTTTTGCTTTGTCATTTCCTGTTAACTTCCATAGCACCTTATAGTTGGTGGAAAAATCAAAGAGATTGGTCCATAAAAAGCATCCGTGTTAAAAAGTGTCCATTACTTATTGATCACTCCTCGTAGAGTCCATTTCACTGTTTAAGGTGCTATGGAACTTAACAGGAAATGACAAAACAGAAAGTGACAATTTTTTTTGCATTTTTAGACATTTTTTGAACAAAGATAACAGAGTTCTGTTTTGACCTCCAGTCAATTCAACTAGTTCCAAATACCATTTACAGGTCCAGGATCACAATGTTCATGGTCAGAATGACCCTAAACATGATGAAATAATGTTTTCAGTCCTTTGAAAATGTGACTGAAAAATAGCTAAAAGTAGGAGGGTAGGAAAGGTCACTGAACAGAATCTTTTGAATTTTTCAGAAAATGTGTCCAATATATTGCTCTAAATGATACAATCTTTGAAAATTTGATATCATTCATGGAAAAAGAAAAAAAATGAAAAAAACTGATTTTAAAAGCGATTTATTTTCCTTTTTATGACTGTCATTTTTGTTTAAGACAATTTTCTAAAATTTCAAAGATTGTATCAGTTGGAGCATTATATTGGGCACATTTTCTGAAAAATTCAAAAGATTCTGTTCAGTGACCTTCCCTAGCTCCTACTTTTAGCTTTTTTTCAGTCACACTTTCAAAGGGCTAAAAAGGTTATTTCATCATGTTTAGGGTCATTCTGACCCTGCACATTGTGATCCTGGACCTGTAAATGGTATTTGGAACTAGTTGAATCGACTGGAGGTCAAAACACAACTCTGTTATCTTTGTTCAAAAAATGTCTAAAAATGCAAAAAAATTGTCACTTCCTGTTTTGTCATTTCCTGTTAACTTCCATAGCACCTTAACTGCGTCAGTAAAAGCTAAAAAATAAGAAATCAAAATATCATTTTGCAATATTAATATACGGAAAAATATATTCCTGTTGTACATGAATGACATTTGTATATCTTGGATTGGTTCTAGTTTGGCTTATAAAGCGTGTGGCCTCTTATATTTGCATGCTTCTCTGCCATGTTATTTTCAATAAGATTAACATGGCTGAAATTCTTCAAATTACAAGACGGCACAGGCTTATTGCATAAAAAACTAAAAAATCTGAAATATACAAATGTCATTCATGTACATTATGAATATACTTTTCCATATATTATTGCAAAATGGTCTCCCAATTTCTTATTTTTGCCGTTCTACTGACGCAATGAAGCAGTGATATGGACTCTTGTAAGCATAGAATTCAAATTAAAAAATAGTTAAACTCATGTGACTTATAAAAGAATGCGCACACAACTAGAGAAAAATGTTTGGCATTATGTAATTTATTGTTCTACTCTAGGCTAACTAATAACAACAAAATTACAGGAAAATTGATTCATAGAATGAAATGAATCAATTACCCCCACCATCCGGAGAGGTTACATTGCATCGAAAAAAAACCATGTATGAATTATGGCACCATAGGGGAGGGAGCCAAAAATTACAAGCAATATAGCATTATACCTAGCACATGTTGTCCGCTGCAAGGACAGTAGCAGAATAAGCAGATAACAGCCAGACACAAGAATTTTACATAACAGTTGAAGCATGCAGGAAACATATGTTGACCTGGTGATGACCCAGGCTGTCTTGAGAAACCCCTCTCAAGTTTAAATTAATTTCACCATGAAATAATAAATCTATGGTTTACATCTTATTTTCAAATTAAAAAAAATAATTACAAAACTTAAGCACATTTTCGATTGTTTGTTGACTTTTACTTGTATTTTGATTTTTTCTGCCTCTGGGGCTCGTTTTAGCATATTTGTAACAAAAAGTCTGATTCTGAGAAAACCATTGTCGATCTACTTTTTGACAATGATATGCGACTAGATCAAAAATTATGACAATTTCGAAATGTGACCACTGGCTTTGTCTTTACAACATCATTACATTTTTCCTCCTGAGAGCAGTTTCAAATTCTGTACAAATGCTACCCTGGCATGAGGTGCCTAACTAAAATGTAAAATGTATATATCCATATATAAACAATCCCAATAATACAGCATCATTTGATCTGACGCATCCATTTTTGTTGCAGTAAATTCCTGGTATACGTGTGCCTGTTCATCTTCTCTTTCCTGTTTGCCTTGAAGCTAGATGGTACAATCACTTGGAACTACTGGGTTATCTTCCTTCCAGTATGGCTGTGGAAGATGCTTGTTATCTCTGGGGCCATTGTAGGTACATGTGTCTGGGTGAAACATCCGCAGTATAGGTAAGCACATACAATTAATTCAGTATGTAATTATTATGTCGCCACCAGAAGTGGTGACATAATGTTATAGTCTGACCACCTTTTTTGTGGATGATTTTTGTCATTTGGTTGGTGTCGGCATTCAGTGGTCATCATCTGTAACAAATGACAGGTGGTGACATTATATGTGTTAATGCCTTGTATATTTTTGTTGGTATATAATTAGTATGTAAAAAATATTACAGTATTTGTAATACTTTCTGAAAAAATGAGGTGCAGCGTCTCTAATTAATTTATAACGCCTCTAATAATTCAATGTACCTCCTAATATAAGTGTTATTCTGAAATTAAAAAATTCTAAAACTTAATATTCATATAACACCAAATATAAACCTATTTTGCCAGATGTTGAAATAGGTTAAACATTATATTCATGACAAGGTTACTTCCTGGACCGTATATCTCCCAGGAAAGCGACCTTTAATATTCAGTCTTCAGTTGATTTCACTTGTTTGCTTATAGATTGGAGCACGATGGACCAAAACAGTTTCACGCCATGATAATCAGCACATCATTGCACCTTCTACTTATGATGTTTGAGATTCTACTTTGCGACCAATTAGAGACAAGGCGTCACCTGTACGTGTTTGTGTTTATACCTCTTATCTTCATGTCCGTCGTATCTATCGGGATATGTGTGTGGTCTGTTAAGCATGACAGATCTTTCGAGGTATGTTATAATTATCTTTATCTGCTTCGGAACGTTTAGTTTTAACAATTTTTTAAGTAAAAAATATATATCTATTCTTTTCATACAGTAAAACCTGCCTGATGGAATACCTCTCTGTAGGGAAAACCTATGAACAAGGAATTTGGAATATTGGTGTCACTGTGTATTCCATTGTTTTTCAGAGGTGTGAAAGTCTTAGCCAATATCTGATTCTAAAAAGCTTGGATTAATATGAATGAGATTAAGATATGCCAATCAATTGTAGCATCCCACTGTTAATTACCCTGATATATTTTTAAACTAATACTAATCTGTTCATTACTTATTATCATGACACTAATTCTTCCTTTCAACAAACCTAATTACATCTCATCAGTTGCGATAATCTAGGGACTGACACAATTGTTTTATGGAGATAACAGATAAGTACATAAGTGTCATGTTGAGCCAAATCTCCTCAAATGTTTACTGATCCAAACTTCTAGATTATCAATGATATAAAATGGGGTTGATGTAGTTCTTACATGCCTTTATATATACAAATATGCTTATTCGGCAAGTTTGAGTTTGCTGAAAGTGCGGCCCCTCTCTGTAGGGAAAACCTCTGAACAAGGAAACTTTCCTCCAGTCCCAAGAGCATTCCCTGTTCGCAGGTTTTACTTGAAAGAAGCATTGTCTAAAAAACATTGGATTTGATAGTTTTTCATCACAAATGAAAGGTATTTGTTAGTTTTTCATCACAAATGAAAGGGATTTGTTAGTTTTTCATCACAAATGAAAGTTAAACGAATCTCCAGATGGACATTTCTTTAGAAGACTGCTTTGATAGACTAGGTCAACTGCCAGTACTTTCTATGTTTGGCTTAAGTTTGATTTTTGCATCATAAGAATTTCATTTCAAGCTATTAACATAATTCAAGTACAATTAATGAGCGGCTTTGTATGAAAAACATTACTTTGAAAAGAGAATTTGTTTGATTTTGGCAGTGATATCAATTTGTGACCTAAGCATAATCTTTTCTACAAGTTTATGTTCCTATACTTTCAGATGGAGCTGTTCTGTTCTGTTAACATACTACAGTTTATATTCCTTGCTCTGCGACTAGATAAGTTCATTGTTTGGAAATGGGTGGTAAGTGTGACTTTTTTTATTTGATTGATTTTGATCATGTTCACATGTTCTTATAATAATTTCACCCCCCCCCCCCTATCTCTGAGCCAAAAAGACAACAGGTATTTTGTGGTATATCTTTGACAGATCAAACAAGAATTTGGCGTATGTTTAAAAAAATACCATGCCTGCTCATACAATTCATTAGCTATAACAGAAATAAGTTTTTTTAAGAAAAAATACAGTATAACAATGTGTGCTATTTTTAACATATTAGTTTTAACAGAATATTTCTTTCAAGTTACATTTAAAAGAAAGCTAAACCCATATTATCATTTCACTGGTGTGACTTATACACCAGTCCCATGTTCTAATGTACAGTGAAACCTGCATATCCTCACCTCTCTTATCTGAACACCTCCAAATGTGAACACTTTTTCTCAGTCCCAAATTTGTTTTACTCTTTTTCACTTACCTTTTTATAAAACCTTGAAATGTGTACACCTACTAATCTTAACACTCTATGCTGGTCCCAGAGACCCAGATACGTTCAGATTAGAAAGGTTTTACTTTTCTGTTGAAGCAGCCATATTGCTATAACAGCCCTCAGATACATCCTTGATACCATAGTAACCACATTTTCTAAATTGCAGATTGTACTCATTCCACTGTGGATCGTGATGTGTGTTGCGCTTATTGCCGTCCTATATGCCATTATTCTTGCCATGATTTTGCTCAAATCTAACGACATTGTACCTGAGCAGCGTAGAGGGAATGTCTGTTCTGCAGTCGGGTACACATGCCTTGCTATACCCATGCTTATATTCCAAGTAAGATTTCAATGTATAGTTGTAATTTTTGTAATAAAAATCTACAGTGGTGTAGATATACGTATATAAATATACCAGATGCTCAAATCTTAAGAAAATAAAATTTTGAGAAAAACATATGTTTCTGTGAATAATAATAAAATAGATTGAAAAGATCATCAAATTAGAAATTCTTTTACTCATTTTACTGGTGGCCCAACTTATTATGCCAATCTCTGCATTATAACCTTTCCTCTCAGTGAGTACAGTACTACAAAAGTGGTGTCAGTGAAACACCTAAAAACAGTGTCCACCTGGGTGCATTTCACATTTAGTTAATTGATAACCAGACTTTGAAGAGATATACTTATGAAGATAATCACTTACTGAGGTGTTCTCCTATACATGTTTCATTTCATTTCAGATTCTCCTGGCTAATAGGTTAGATGGAGAGAATGATTATTCCTACATTGCCATAAATATCCCTCTGCAAGTGTCTCTCATCACTCTAATGTGTATGGCATTTGGTTCAAAATCAGGCAATCATTGTAAGTAGGAATTCTTTAAAGAACCAAGGTTATGACTTACTTGTATGTGATAGTGTTATGCATTTTGGTAGATTTTCACCAAAAAACAGAAATTTTAGGGTCAGTGGGGGACCCCTAAATTTTATAAAAAAAATCTGAAATTTTTTTTTCACTTTTTACCTAAATCTCTACACCAAAATACCACGAAATGTAAAATTTTCTGAAAAAAACTCCTTTTGAGTCACCCTAACCAAGGTCCAGTTTTCAAATTTTCTGTGGGATTCATGAAATTCAGTGGTTCTCTTTCACAATTAAATAATTTTTTTATCATACTATGGCAATTCATGATGTTTTGAGAATCAGCTTTTGGAGTCTGGTATATATAACTTTTATTGACATATTGACCCTATGCACGAGTGACGTCACAAATACACATTTTTCCAGCTCAGTTCAGCTGGCCGTCTAGAAAAGCCCGGGAAAATCAAAAAATCAAATATGACGGAAAGCAAAACAACAACTGTTTCTTCTACTAGGAAATCATCTCAAATATCTAAGGTTATATGATGTTTTCATTGATTGATAAGAGGAATAATTAAGGGGACTCATCTCTAACCCTTACGACAATGGTGATATACTTGCCAATTACAGAACAGAAAATAAACATCTTCAGAAAAAGCTTGTTTGTTAACTTCACGTTTGACAAGTGTTTTATAATAAAATGTTAATGACGCTGAATGACGGTATGTGACACTTTACGACATAGTAGCTCATAGCAACTATGAGCTCCTCACTTGAAGCAGTGTTTTATCATGACGTCATATAACACTCTTGCTCACGAATTCTTGGAATATGGTACCATTATCTGTGACGTCAGTGGCACATTGCCCCATCAACAATTAAACAAACAAATGAGCTATACGTCACTGATTTCCCAAATAATTGTATAATTTGGGTGTTTGCTTTGTTTTCTTGTAGCCTATTCGTTCAAGCTTAGTTCGTTATATTTCAGCAGTTTAACAAGCAAGCAAAGGTTTTACAGACAAACTAGCATGTCACTTGCTTTTTTCGCTAAATGGCATTAGTATGAGCAATTTATATAGGGTTTCATTAAATATTACCTTGGAAATCAAAATGCTTAGTATTCCCATATATATATATATTACTGATGTTTAAAAAAATCGTTTTAGCCTACGGTACAGCCACCAAATTGTGTGCCTCTTAATAACATCTAAAATAAAAAAGGTTTCACCATCGATTTTTTACGTGAAATAATATCAAAGTTTATTGAAATAAAGAGGGGATTAAAATTCAACATGGCGTCATGAACCATTTACAAATGTTAGTCTTATAGGGCTTTAATATATTTACCCTCATTTTAATTTTCTTGGAATTCAAACTATTCAGATAATAAAAGGCATTGCATTTATATAATTTTAAGCGATTGTAAAATGATTCGCATGCCATGTCGTAATTTTTATTGCCGAACTTGGGTGAGGGGTCACAATCCTTTTCAAAGGTTGGTCTTGTGATGCTTTATTTACCCCAATTTTAATTTTCTTGATATTTAAATTATTCAGATAATAAAAGGCATTGCATTTATATCATTTTAAACGATTGTAAAATAATTCGCATGCCCAATAACACGCATAGCGAAACCATACCGGTGAGCAATATAAACATTTCTTGTTGGAGTTAATTGATGAAATTCTTAAGAAATATCAGAAAAAGCCGAAAATTGGAATCTAAATAACAGAAAAAATCGACGGTGGAACCTTTTTATCTTTTAAAATGTTATTTAGGGGCACGTGAACTATTGTTTAAAACAATAAAAACAATATGTCAATGTTTTAGTTTTTTCCTCAAAAAATGTCAAAGTTTATGAAAATTGAAAGTCAACTAAAATTTGATATGGCGTCAATTGTACTGCCGATTTTGGGTAAGGGGTCAGAGGCCTTTAAAAATATTGGTATAAAAATGCTTTATTTACCCCGAATCGAATTTTTTGGAAATCAAACTCTTCAGATGATCAAACTGAAGTTAATCAAAGACATCTTAAGCGGCTGTATAATGATTCACATGTCTAATACGCGTATGGCAAAACCTTACCGGTGAGCAATATAAACATTTCTTGTTGGAGATAATCGATGAAATTCATAAAAATATCAGAAAAAAGCCGAAATTTTAAATCTAAATAACAGAAAAAATCGACGGTGGAACCTTTTTATATTTTCAAATGTTATTTAGGGATACGTGAACTATTGTTTGAAACAATAAAAACAATATGTCAATGTTTTAGTTTTTTCCTCAGAAAATGTCAAAGTTTATGAAAATTGGAATACAATTATAATTTTATATGGCGTCAATTTCACTGCCGAACTTGGGTAAGGGGTCAAAACCCTTTATCTAAGCTGTTCTTACTATGCTTTATTAGTGCCCATGAAAAACTAATTGCCATTAAAAGTCTTCAGCTTATCAAATGCCGTAAATTAAAAACAACCTTGGTGGCTGTGTGACGATTTTCCTATCAATCATCGATAAAATAAGAACGTGTCGCTTTTAAAGCAAGCATATTCTAGTGAAGCGGGTAAATTGAGGCGTTTTTTTCCGTAACGTCACACCCATCTTTCAGACGATGTAGGGAAATATTTTGATGGCTAACATTCAGTGTTTTTTACATTAAATGAAAGCATATATGAAACACTTCCGAAAAAAGAAACATAAACAGTGCGTTCAGGGTACCTCCAAATCGGCTAGGTTAGAGATGAGTCCCCTTAAGACCAGTGTAGAAACTGTCAATTAAGGATTCTAAAATAAATCTCTCGACTTCATAGATCCAATGTTAGGAAGGACGTAAATCTATTTTCCAGGTTTGAATTAGAAAATATTCTGTATGAAGTGTAACCTCATCAGTTTATACTAGACACTGACTTTATACTAGACTGCAATGTATATTACGAATTGTGTAATTCATTCAGAAATATAACATATTTTATTAAAATGGTACAACTGATTCACATGTATTTGACAGGGCACTGGAAACAAAAACCACCTTGTCTAGAGTAGTAAGCCCAGTTGTTTCATCTGTTTGAAGGAGTGATATTGGTATTTTTGCACTAAGCATTGTGTACTTGCTCCTGACTAGACCAATAACTCTCTCAACGTGTATTCGAACAGAGGCTAATCCTCTGGTACATTCCACCTCGTACAAACTTAATTGCGATTTTCCTCTTGTGAAAGCTGGGATTTCTACTTTTGCACCATGAAGTCCAACAAGATCTTGTATGTCAAAACCACGGTCTGCAAGTATTAAGTCTCCTGGCTGAAGCTTCTCTAGAAGACCACAATTATAAGTTAAATGTTTGTCACTAACACGTCCTCCCCAACCTTTGGAAACAAAAGTCACAACGCCTTGGGGTGCAATTGCGATAAGATATTTGATTGTATTGTTCGATTTATAGTGACTATATGTTGTTGCTCGAGCATCAAGGTCCTTTGGCTTTTCAATGAAAATTTCAAAACAGTCGATGATACCAACACACTTACTAAATGCCCCTAAAAACGACCGTGGTAGTGTAGCCCGAAGATTCAATAAGTCATTCGGCCATTTAACAAGTACAGGTACAAGTCTTGCGTTGCAAACATCGATTACGTGAGAGAATATTCGTGAAACTGTAGATTGATCGATGTTAAAGCGGTATGCTAAATCGTGAGTGCCAAGATTTAGACGAAGTCTCATCAAGGTTAATATGAATTGAGAAGATTTACTCATGGTTGCTCTGGGGACCAGGTGTCCAATCATCATGTTAAGATGAGCCAAAAAGACTGCAAATGTTGGCAACCCGGTATAATATTTCAGTTTGTTTTCGTTATTTTTTAATTTCTTAATGTATTACATAGTCTGCTCTTTTCCTTTAATTCCGTGTTTTCACGTTTTAGGTCCATCACTTCTCGCATAATATTATCCAACTCGGAACAAGAAAGGTCGGTCTGTTTACCAACTCTCGTATCAGTGAACGTGTCGAATGTTTCACACTAAACAATATTCGTGACTCTGCATCTCTTTGAGGCATGACGTTCATATGCATGTAAGCTCTTTCGCTTCCTCTCGATCTCCTCGCTAGATTTGTACGAAAAGACAGAGGGAATGAAGTCGGGATGATCTTCAATATTTGACTTTTGTCCTGAAAATATATGTTTGATAAATAAGTGGATTTGTATATACTCATATCATGCATGCCATGGTCTCAATCATTTCTTTCTGTGTGGAATATCAATGTTAGAAAGGGATCTCAATTTTAAAAATTAAAACAGGTTGCAAACACAATGATTGATATTCGAGTGAAGCGCACATCAATATCCAAACAAATATTACAAAGGTTTATTTTAAGTTTTTAGTTTTCTCCATAAAAAGTACATGCATAAATACTCGTGAAAATCAACGTGGGTCACCGACAGTCACATTAATATTACTTACTAGCGATTTTTGCAGATGATACCACGTTGACTCTTAAGGACGTTACGTCATTACGAAAAGCATTGGACATCTTTGAAGATTTCAGACTAATATCAGGTTTATGTATTAATAGAGAAAAAACAGAGTGTTTGTATATTGGAAGTGATCGTCATAATAATGAAATAAACCTTTTTGGTCTGAAATGGGTAAAGATACCAAGTAGACTTTTAGGGATAACAATATCATATGACACAAATGCAAATAACACGGATAATTTTGAGAGAAAGTTAAATATGCTTGAAAAGGTTCTTATATTGTGGTCAAAGCGAGATCTTACTTTTTATGGAAAGGTACTCATAATTAAGTCCCAGGCAGTGTCGAAGCTAATATACTCGATGACAATGACCAATACGCCTGATGATATCTTGACGAAGGCTCAACGACTAGTCTATTCTTTTTTATGGGGAGGAAAGGGTGAGAAAATTAAGCGAAATACTTTTATTTGGGATTTTGAGGATGGGGTCTAAGAATGATTAATATGTTCACAATGGAGAAAGCCTTGAAATTAATGTGGCTAAGACGTTTACTTGACACACGAACTAGTCACGTGAAGCTTATTTCTCAAGTTCATTTCAAGCGTCTTGGAGGACTGAGTTTTTTGTTGCAGTGTAATTATGATATTAAAACACTGGCACACAGTGTTCCTACCTTTTATATGAATTTGCTTCGAAACTATTCAGAATTAAGAAATATGTCGCCGCCTAGAACCAGTTCAGGGGTTAAAGGTGAAATAATTTGGAATAAAAATCAATTCTAATTAATGATAAGGAGGTGATGTACAAACATGTCATGGAAAAGGGAGTCATTTATATTAATGACCTTCTTAACGCGAATGGGGGGTTTTTACAGTACAATGAGTTTAAGACTAAGTATAATATTAATATAAACTTTCTTGTGTATTTTTCAATCATATCGGCTATACCAAATGATTGGAATTTTTTATTGAAATCAGATTTAAATTCGACCTTTGAACCCAGCATACAGGAAGAACTCGTGTATTTGAAACTTGGTGAAAAACAGGTGACAATCTCTAGTATAACGGTTAAATCAATTCAAACAATATTAAATGGAAACAAGTTCTTTGAACCGTTATATAAAGACAAACATGATCGTGAATTAAAAAGAACCGATTATTTTAAAATGCCTTATATGTGCACGAAACAGAATAAAACGCGACAACTTCAGTTTAAAATACTTCATGGTATCTGCACTACAAATGCCTTTTTAGCGCAGATAGGCATTAAAATGACTCTAAATGTAACTATTGTGCCTTTCCAGATACGTTAAAACACAAATTCTGGGAGTGCAAAAGGATTCAAATATTTCTGAAAGCAATCAAAGGGAATTTAAAGCGTTTATTTAAAGTTGATTTCGATTTTACGCCCAGGACATGGTTTTTGGAAGGCAAACTAACAAGAAAAATATCTTACCAAATAGACTTACCCTTGCAATTAAGTACTATATTTTTATCAAAGAGTTCGACGAAGTGAATCCCAATCTGTATGAGGCGCAATTTGAAAAAAGAAATGTTTTATTATGTACCTGAACTTAAAAGTATGACTGTTGCAAATGTCTGAATGAATGGAGGTGGTGTGAAAAATATCTGAACTGTTCTAATTATTGTACTTGCACTGTTTGAATAGAGAAATAAAAAAACAAAAAAAACATAATATTACTTACATGGGCCTACTTCCCTCGTGTTTAATGATAGCGTTATTAACACAATGCGTGGTATTTGAATGTGCATTATTTACTGATAACTTTATAATTAATAAAATTTTATTTTACTTATTATTTTGAAAACCAGGTCTGTTTCGATTACTCAACACTGTACCTGACAAGAAATGAGCGCTGCAAAGTCGATCGTGTTCTTTTGGTTCCCAGTTTTGCCTTTTTACAGCATTTATCCATAGCTTTCTTTTTACAGGTGACTTCTTGTCACTCGGAAAGCGATAAAACGTACTGCCGACTTGTTCTCTATTCGAACATTCAACAGCAACGCAGCATTTAGGCATACTCTTTTAACTTTTTCTCATCACTTCGTCGCCATTTTGAGCACTGGTTGCTTATGACGTTTTCTAGACGGCCAGCAATATTTTCTGGCCGGACAAAGGCATGACGTCACACTGATGCATAGGGTCAATAGTATCATAACATGATTACATTAGTCAAATAACAGTAGTTCATTGCTCAATGCTCAGTGAATTCTCTTTCCAACCAGCTGATAATTTCCTTATAACAAAAAATGATTTTTTCAAACATTTTTTAAATGGGGTGTCTTTCACAAGAATTATTTTTATTTATGAAGTTCAACACCACAATTATTCTGAAATGAATATATATTTGACTTTAAAATTATTCTTTTTACATTGGTAATTGTGACAGTTGAGGAAAATGGATGTGAATTTCATGGATTTGATGGAATATTCATTCCTTACATATTTTTTCAAGCTCTAATGTTTACAGAAAAAAAAAGTGTGTGTATGATACACATGACATGTTATTATGAATTATTTTCAATTTCGGTGTATTTTAGGATCATAAATAGGCATTGAGCCCCTTTAACATCTCATTCCTTTTCATTTCAGGGTGGTTTGGTATAAGAAAAGACTTCTGTCAATTTATCCTCGGTGTGTGTCCTTTACTCCAAGAATATGGAAACGTGTCATATAAAATACAACGATCTTCACACAATCGTCAGCCTGACACCCAGACTATAGACAGAGATAAACCTAGCACTAGTAAAAGCATTAAGTTTATTAACCCTGATGACCCATGTAAGGCTACACACCCCATGGTTTCAATAGAGGTGCCTGATTGAGATTGGAGTACGACAGGAGGGGATAAATCTCACGTGGAATAAGGTTTTACATGGTGCTTGGGTAGAACAGATGCGTTTTGCATTCCCTGGAACTTCAACTTAAGGAGAGGAATAAGTAAGAATTGAATGAGAAAGTTAGAGATGTGTGCAAATATCAACAGTTATGGGAGAATCAAGTTAATTTCATTGGGGGGGGGGGGGTAAATTATGGCTTTGTCACTTATCTTTAAAAATAGGGAGTTTAAGCTTGCATATACAATCGAAACGCCAACCTATATGTATGACCAATCGCCCATACAAATGCTTAAATATTTTCCATTCACGTTTAGGTTGTGAAAAACATTGCAAGCTTAAACTCCCTAATAATGACTTACATGTACCTTAAACTTGGGATGAAAATTAAATTTGCTTTTCCATAGCTGTTGCTATTTTGACACAATCTCTTAATATCCTATACAAACACCCCTAAAAGAGGTCACTTCGTTTACCTTGCAATGAAAAAGAGCGACTGTTGAACAAAGGGTTAATGATGGGGAGATGTTACAGGAATATGTACTTGTATCAGTTATATGTGAAGTGCACAATGTAGAATATTGAGGCTGTGGAACAAAACATAATAGAATATTGTTCAGGAAGATTCAGTGAACATTTCTGTGGAACAAATATATTGGGCTATTGTTTTTGTGAATTGTGTTTTCTGAAGTTACAATGTTTTCTGTGTCAACATTGTAATGATTTAATTCTACCACAAATCTTTATTGCCTTGACATTGAAAAAAAATTGTCAGGATTTTGGGCCCATACAATTGTTTGTTGTGAAAACAAAAGGATTTATACATGTGAAATATTGAAAAGTATCTAATTTTGAGCTGCAATATATGTTAATTGATACTTCAGAGCCAAATTGGGAATTAAAAAATACTAAGATGCAAGTTTCAGCATTAAAAATAGAGAGGTTGAGTTACCAATGTTTTGCATAAAGAAATAGTTAGGTCCCCATATTAACTAATGAATAGGGGATAATAATCTATGGATATCATATCATTATGTTACACATTCAAGTTCTCGTAAATGCACATTAGTTAACCTCTCTATTATTCTGTTCATTGTCAGTGTCGGGGCAATATATAGTGATAACTGAATATTATTTTAGGCAGATTCAGTCCAAAGACCAATAATATAATCAAGTGGATTTCCATGTTCTAGGAATTTAACATACAAAATCTTGGAACATTACTTACCATTGGACTGGTTCACTAAATAACTTGATTTTATTTGTGTGAATGTTTTTCTGTTGAAGTGTCTGTTTTTAGCAGGCCACAAAATGATATGTGCAATTTTGAGAATTTTGTATGATAATGATATCAAAGAAATGTTAAATTCTCAGGCAATGGAATACCCTTCAACACTCATGATACTGATTTTACCGGCAAAGTAATTCATAAGATTTGTTTCTTGAAAATACTCCATACCAAAGCCATATATATAAGAAGTAGATACTTTGTTTTTGTGTCCTGGCAAAATCCATATCATGCAAGGGTACAAGGAAAACAAACACAAACTCAAGGGTAAAAAATGAGAAATACACAATGTATGCCAAAGTAATTATAACACTGTCAATTTTGACGCACATCAAATTATCTGCCATTTCGTTTGATTCTGATTGAATGAAATGCGATGGTACTTTCAGACCCTCGTGATTGCTATTTGAATGTGTTCGTTTTTTCTGATTTACTCAAAATCGTGCAAGCAAGGGGAAGCAAAACAAAAAATCTACTTCTTATGGCCTAATTACAAATTGTGAAAATTGTGGTGAAGTGATCACGTTCATATAAATCGGCCTTTCATTATGGGACAATGCAAATTATTTTCTACTTTTCTATGACAAATTTTATTTTGAGAAAATACATCATACATGTATACATGATTGTAGTTTATTACAATCGAGTACAATACAAAATTGTTTTTTATAATCATGTGAAGTTGAGACCGTTCATTTAATGACATTGCCCATTGTATATCATATAATATACTATGTAGGAAAATGCCACACAATTTGTGATTCTCATGTTACATGATATAATAATGAATACAGATGACTTATTTGATTTTAACTTCTTGTTTGTGTTCTAGTTATGAAGTAAGGGCTGTTCAAAGATTGGTGGTAAATATGTTTCAGATTTTTTTTACAATTGAGGAGAGCATTCGTCTTGAAAAGAGCATTTTCAGTTCATTTTTATACTTAAAATTTTTTTTTTTGAGTATGAAAATGTACTGAAAAATAGACTTATCAGCATATTTTTTACTAAAAAAAGTCAGTATATTTTTCAGGACAAAAATGTGCTGAAAACGCTCCATTCAGTACAAATAAAATGCTTTCCCCTAGTGATTGCAAGACCTAAACTGCAAGAGAACACAGATGAGCATTGTCCTTTGCTTTATTCATGTAGTTTCATTGTCAATCATCCAAGCTTATGTAGCTCTTCAAATGGAGGATGCGACTTTTACACAGTCCAATTTTATCATCAGATTAATAGGTCCAGTGTCAAAGAAAGATTCCTTCATGATTTGGTTTGTCGGCTGCATGGTTTTTGTTAGTAGCGGGGTTTTCTCATGATATTAGGCTTCCAGTTGATTGGGTGACTCTCTTCCGACTGAAACAAGAAAATAATAAGAATTTAGAAAATGCCGCTATTCCACTAAACTTAAATTTGCATTGATTAATAAATTTAATTGCAATTTGCAAATTTTTTTTGGGCATTGGAACACCTGACTCAACCTCCGAACGTAGGGCTCCAGACATCCACTATGTCCCTTCTGGAAGAAGGTAAAAGTTCGAAGGATGCACATATAATCCTTGAGGCACATGAAATTCTAAACTGGATTTCAAAATTGTATCTGGGCGTTATGTACCTCTCTCAGAGAGGTATATTGTATTTGATTATATTTCTGAAATTCATTATTAGATGGTGCTGTATTTCAGAATGAAATGTGCATGTGACATATTCTAAAGGAAATCTTTGAATGGCTCATGAATATATCAAGGATCTTTAGTACTGTAATTGAAACCATATGGTGATCTACTCTAAAATTCGCCCATTAGATAACTCAAATACAAGTTGACAGATTTTCTACATATTTGTCGGGAAGATGTGTATTGGTGAATAGTTTAAAATGTTTCCACATCTTTAAAAATGATGGGAAATTTTCACAAAAATTTGCGCAGGGGTTGTGTATGAGGGTTCGGGAATACAGGAATTTTTGATAACTCGACAGAGCTCAAATATTGGATTATCCTCATGATATGTACCTATGAAACTCCTAAATGGTCACCAATATTCCTAAATTGGTGGAAATTTTTCAAAATATGATGGAACACTTGGAATTGTTAAAAAGCAAAGGTGTTTTACAACTGCAAAATGTAAGGCAATGGATTAAACTATAAGAGGTATAAGGCAAAATACAAAACAGAGACCAAGTTAGAATGACCCAGTTCAACAACTCATACTTTAACAATCCTGCAGTGATAATGGTTCGCAATTTACAATGTTATGTCTTATAATGAAACTGATAACAATAGGAAATTAGCAGGCACTCATATCTCAACACCTCTGAGTAAATCTGACTGGTGCAAAGCGCAAATATTCACACTAAAACAAGTTATTGTAGCCAGTGAGGGACCATATGAAAACACAAAATGTTGGAAAACACACAATATGTATGGAATCTGCATCAATTCAAAGTGATAAACACTGTTGGTATAGTATGGCTTGCTATAATGTGTTGGCGAACCAGATAGTACACTTTTAACATATTTTCAGACCATATATTTTCATGAAAACTCCCAACCATTTTCAAAGTGGTGCCAACCTTATGAAAAAAAAATATTTGCATAAAACTGTTTACCAATATACATCATTCTACCAAATATTAAGAAAATTGGTCCTTATTTGAGTTATGCTATGGACAGATGGACTGATGGGTTGACAGATGAAGGGTTTCACTACATCCCTACAGAACTTCATTTGTTGGGATAATTAATAACTCCTGGTTATGAGAACTCTACCAAAGATATGCTCCTAAAAGTTTTATTTAGTATGAATATGTGTGATGCAGTTTGCATTCATATTCTCTTCAGTGGGATGACTAAAAATGTCACACCTGAGCATCAAGATCTTAACAAACCAAAATGGACCTTTCATGGCCTTTTTAAGAGTTGAATGGTAAAATCATTAATGGCAGCTATTTACAAGCATAAAATGGTAGGCCTTATCTCGGAATGTGCTAACTACATATTCCTCTTAATTAAACAAGATCAAAGATTTAAAATATTTTTTAAGAGGGAATACAACATTGAGATCTTGCTTAGGGTTATCACTTACTGCTGTATCATCTTCTTTGTATATTTTGATGGTCTTGTCTGCCTCAGCGGTGATCAGTCTCGATCCACTCTGATCAAACGTCATGGCGAATATTCCTGCCTCTGAATCGATAGAACCTGGCTGGACGGGGGCTTGGAGACGTTGGAAGTTATACCCAGATTTCCAGTCCCAGAAGTACATTGTCCCGTTGTCACCTGAAGAATAGGAATCAAGCATTTTTATTTCATTTGTTATGTCCAATTGAATTTTTATTTAAAACTATCATGTGACCGTTTTGTTATGTGTTAAATGTACGTGAAAAAATAGGACAAGGGGTGTATACCCCCTAGTTCAAAAAAATCTGTGCGTCATCATGCAATGCTCATAACTTTTGATAAATGAAACCATACAATTCCTTACTTTTAGAATATTATTTTTATTTGTAACAAAGATGTGTGTAAAATTTGGATAAAATATGTGGAATGTTAAAAAAACTAGAGATAAGTAACCATAGTGACCCCTAAAATTACTACTGTGACTTTTTGGAACTTTTCCTTATTTTTATAGCGCATAGTGAAGGTCGCATTTTTGTCTTTGGGTTTGGATCATGGGTTTGTCATACATAAAATAATAATAATAAAAATATTTTTTATCATAATGGATGATCATGATATACAGCGATGTTTTATCATTTGAATCTGGGAAACATATTTACTGTTATACCAGGTTTGCATTATCAGCACTGTACATCAAAGACAAAAAGCATAAAGTTCTGCCATTTTAAATGGGGCTTACTATATAAATGGACATCAATCACAAGATTAACCTCATAAATCTCTGCTTTTTATCTGTTTATTCAAGTATTCAATGCATCAGATAGCAATCAATACAATAGAGTGATTAAAGGGCCATGTTTTCAATACATGACCAAAGGAAGGAGATCAACATGGGATTAAAGCCTATTGCTATTTTCTCATATTTTCGTGACCTTTACTATCGAACATTAATATGAAGCCTTATTAATGAAATATATTGGACTCAATGAAATATACAGGACTCAATGAAATATACTGGACTCAATGAAATATACTGGACTCAATGAAATATACTGGACTCAATGAAATATACAGGACTCAATGAAATATACTGGACTCAATGAAATATACAGGACTCAATGAAATATACTGGACTCAATGAAATATACTGGACTCAATGAAATATACAGGACTCAATGAAATATACTGGACTCAATGAAATATACAGGACTCAATGAAATAGCTGAAACTAAGATGAGAAGAGGTATTTTATGAAATCATAATCCAGCATGTACTGAAAATGAATACAAAACTTCCTGAATAATAGATAAACAAGGCTTAGTTATTAACATGCAAAATGTCACCACCTGCCATTTTTTACAGATGCCAAACACCAAACACCATCCAAAAAACATTTGAGACTGTAACAATATGTCACCACCATAACATAGCTATATGTTACTGTCGCTTTTGCTGTTATATAAATTGAAAGTCTAAATAAAAGACATGTGGTATAAAGATATTATAATGCTGTTTTCATGAATAAACTACTCAGATGGCCACTTATTCAATTGATGATGATTGAAAGCAGTTCACCAAAAACAGAAACTAAACATGAAAGGCTAAGTTGCCTCCCATCATCAGTACATTTTTAATTTGTCTTCATTGAAATAATTATAATTATTATACAAAGCACAAGTTTCAAAAGGGGAAAGCACCTAACTTCAAATCAGCCCAATAATGAATTTGGAAGAAACCCAACTATGACTGATTTAAGGCCAATCTTAATTTTCATTTTCAAATGTGAATTTTATTTTTAGTCATTTTCAAATATAAACCCAACTATGACTGATTTCAGGTGAATCTTAATTGTTGACAATTTCCAATATGAATTTTTAACGAGGTAACGTAAAGATGAATGATGGAGAATAGGCATAAGTCCAGATCAAAGCTTTTGTTTATCGTTCACTGAATCCAGGGCTACATCTGGTCACAGGTGGATAAAGGAATCAATTAAGTCATAGAAAAATGCAGCAGGCGCTGCATCAATCAATGCATGCTTCAGTGTACAAATTCAGTATCCCTGATTGCAACTGGTAAAGATGAAAATGTTAAGAGTTTACCAAAAACTACAAATCTAAAAATGGAAAATTGAAGATGTTATAGACAATACAGGAATGAAATATGATTATCTAAATTGTATGGATCACTGGCCATAATGGTCCACATTAAAGATCTGTTGTATGAAAAAATGTAAGGCATATTCATCAATAGTAAAACCTGTATATCCAAACATCTCTCTAATCTGAACACCTTTCAATGTGAACATTTCTTCTCAGTCCCAATTTTTAATCTTCCATTGACTACTATACAATGTTGGACAAGCCATGGACATGCAAAATGTCACCATCTACCAATCCTGCTATTTGTTACAGACACCAAACTCCAAATGCGAAACACCAACTGCTTCCACAAAAAAGTGAAAGAGAATAACAATATGTCACCACTTCTGATAGTGACACAAAAAACTTGAAATATAAATACCTGCTAATCCGAACACTTTTGGTGGTGCTTTAGGCAGGTTTGACTGTACTTGTTTTTTGCTAACAAATTGATTGATAAGAAACAATACAGAAGGAGGGTATTTTGATCTTTTCTTTCTATTTTTATTTGTTCATGATATATTGTATTCCCATGCATTGTATCGCAATGTGAAAAGGCTTTATTTGGTTTGCACTCTTTTTAATGTGCTATACTGTTGTCTTGTGGTGATAGGCATGTGTAATTGTGTGGAGGTTGGCAACACAAAAATCTTGTCATCAAAATTCCAGGAAAACCATTTACTTAATTTTTTTCCTGGAGCAAGAGCAGACTAGTGCCAAGATCTGATTAGGTTTCAATTTTTTTCAAAAAGTGCAATATTTATCACCATGTGTCTTGTTTTAATGTTTAATGCTCAGTGTGAACAATTGGTTTGATTTTCGTCATCAGTTTGCCTGGAATCCAAAATCTGCTCATAGAACTTTCATTGTTTTTTTGTTTACATTCCATGTATCTCAACTCATCATACTGATTTACAAAAGTCCTAAACATAGACTGAATATATTGAGTGGTGAGTTACCACGGCAATATTTTAGCAATTATATACCCCGATACAAATCAGCACATCTTGTAAGCGAAATTAGTTCCATTCATTTTTTGCAAGGGTTAACTTTGATTATAGAGACGGGAAGGTATCCAAAGTCCTCAACATATTGAATATATAGTGGTGAGTTGCCATGGCAATATTTAAGCAATTATATACCTCAACACAAATCAGTACATTTTGAAAGGGAATGCATTACCTGGAGTACCATTCATTTTTTGTAAGGGTTATCTTTGATTCCAGAGACTGGCTTGTAAGCTTGACTTACCATTGCTGGTAGAGTTAATGAAACACTCAGGTATCTTTTGTTACGATTTCTATGGCACTATATCTGCTTAAATATTTTATGAGAGATAATTTACGAATGATTAACTTGGTAATTTTTGTTTGTAAACATATCATAGATTTCATTTTAGGTAAACAGACGGGAGAAATAGATAGCCAGATTTCGCTTCCATTCAGCTCTCTTAAAATTTCAAATACCAATTGGAATATCTCTACAGAGTGGGATTCAAAAGTATGCATGTAAACGAAAATGATAGAAAGTGCATGTAAACGAAAATGATAGAAAGTGCATGTAAACGAAAATTATAGAAAGTGCATGTAAGCAAAAATTATAGAAAGAAATCAATGTGTTTATCAAGCAACAAAGAAAAGCTTAATCTTAATATATGTTTTTTAAGTTAGCCAAAATAAAAATTTGTCTCAATCTGTTTGTACATTGACGTCAATTCACGAAAGATTTAAGTTAATTTGTCGGATTCCCTATTCTACTTGGTAATTTGGTATGCCTTAAGCATTGAATGATAATATGAATTGTTATCTAGTTTCAACCTAAACTTTACGTAGCCATCATGATAAACCATGGGTAAAGCTAAACCATGACATCTCATTTCTTCTCAGCCCTGTGATGCCATGATATAATGAGCTTGATTTGGCGATCCAGGAGAGCCCAAAATTGAGGATTTTTGAGATCTTTCATCCCAGCTCATATTTCATCTAATTGGGGTCATAAAAGGTGTGTGCCTGTACCTGTTAGAATATCTGCTGTTAAATACAATGCCTATTATGTAATGTATTGACATTAAGGTAAATGATTACATGATAACTATCACACTTATTGACAGTTATAACTCTTCCCATCTGATGTGCTCGGATCACAGAATATGCCTCATAATATCAGAGCATGTTTCAGGTGAAATAGAAAGATGCTATTAGTATCAGAATGTTACATAGAATTTCCTGCCATTAGAAGAGTGCTACTAATACCAAAGCTAAGATCAAATAAATTAAAATACAAAACAATAATGCCATAAACTCTTTACTGACTCGTTATATCTTTTCCTCAGATTACCTGTTCTATTTTCTATTAGTAATATCTGTTTATAAGGACTTGTTTTGATCTGGAGCTTTTTGTCTGTTATCATAGATTCAAAAGATCATGCAAATATTGTAATTATGTTAAAGCTGCAAGGTGGCGACCAGCAAAAACCAGACCCCATAATTATAAAGGCTCACAAATAAATTAATACTTAGAAAAATACTGTCTTATGCTGCTGCTTGGTGGAGGGAGGGGGGGGTGCCGCTGGTTGGTTGGTGGGGGAATGCTGCTGGGTAGTGGGGGGGGGGGGCGATACATAAATGTTGTCATCTTATCTGTTCAACTTGAATTTTTTACAGATAAAAGAGCAGATAGTGTGAAAATCTCATTATTAAAGTTTTGGGCATGCTGGGTAAATACCACGGCAGCGATTTCACTTTTCAAAGTGATATATCAATTTGTGTCCTGCTTTTATTTATATAATGCTTCCTTCATCACTGATATTTTTAGATGTTCCCTCAAGATATGTTTGCAGCTTGCCACTAAGCCCCTGCTGCCAAATATATTGTTATACTGAAAACACGAGTATAGAACAGAAGAATGATTTACTCACAACTGGTAGCCAGACACCTTTATATTGCGATTCAACAGCATTCAATGGTTTTATTTAAGCATTATCCTCTCGGCCAATCACTTCTCATTATAGTATTCACT